CCCTCACTTAGCTTGTCCTGTACACACTTAACTCTTTTTCTGCATTTCAATTTTGAAGGAGGATAGCCACTCGCAACATGTTATGGAGGATTTATTATCTGTACTAGTGCCATGTTGGCTATCAAAGACCACAAGTATAGAAAAGCTTCTTCAGGTTCTCTATTTTTCTTTGACGTTCTCTGTTGGCTTATACATTTTCCTGTGAATATAACAATATTTAATGAATTATGCATATTTATGTTTCTGCAGATATTCATTAAATCTTTGACTGATGTTGCCGAACATAGGCGTGTGACCCTCATGATGTACCTTTTGAGGACCCTAGGAGAAAATAGTTTGAGTACCGTGATCATGTATCTACTGTACACGTTGATTGAGCGGGGTTCACACTCTCTTTCGAAACACAAGAAGAGTCATTGTGTCCTATCCTTGAGTGCCATGTCACAGGAGTGGGAATATGGTCTGGCAGTCAATATGACGGGCCAATATTCCTATAAATTATGGTTTCCTTGTCTGTGTAAGCTACTACAAGAAATCAAGGTGCATCAGAAACAAGTTTTACTTCCTATGCTACATTTGGCGTTGCAGTTTATTCTACTTAAGCTGCAAGATACAGAGTTGAGATTTGAGCTTGAAGCTGAGGAAGCTGCTAATTCTATCCAGGTATTTCATTTGGTCGAAATTGTGGCTTTGTTGCTTTTCTGTTGTTATTATTCCTATTTTAGCTCTGTCTGCTCCAGTTAGAACTCCTGTTGTTTTATGCATTTCTATCAGATAGTGTTTTGCCTTAAAAAAGTCGTATTCTTGATTTATCCATCCCTTATTCGTATTCATGGTTGTTGTAGAATTCTCTTGGAACACTCATGGAGGAAGTTGTGTTGTGCACTGTCTCTGTCAAAGACAAAAAAGGGGACATTTCTGGTGATATTCTAAAGGAAGTCAGGAACAATTCAAATACTGTTCTGAAAATAATTACGGGATGGATGCATGCTTCAACATATTTCAAAGGAATTACTCAGTTGTTAGAACATCCAGAAGGTCTTGTGAAAAGAAAGGTATCTTTGTTGTTCTGTTCATTGATTATGTTCTTTAAAGCCAACTCTGCCCCACTTGACTGCCCCTGTACTTTGTAAACAGACACTTGGAATATTGTGTGAAACTGCAAGGGCGAATAACATGGTCCAGAACAAGCAAAAGAAAGAAAGAAAACTGAAGCGCAGCTCTCTGTCTACGGCACTCCAAGTGGACAAGAGCTCTTGTCCTTATTTCAGCGAGCTGTGCTACAAGATTCTAGAGTTGATTGATAGAGAGTCGGACACATCTGTGAAAATTGCTGCTATTTCTTCACTTGAAACACTAGCGAAAGAATATCCCTCTGAAAATCCTGCATATAGCAAGTGCCTTGCGACAATCATTAGTCACATCAGCTCTGGTGATTCTGTCACTTCTTCCGGGTTAATAAATACCGCAGGGTCTCTGATTAACGTGCTAGGATCAAAAGCATTACCTCAGCTTCCACTTATCATGAAAAATATGCTGCAAAGAGCACATCTAGTGTCATGCTGCCCTAGTGGAAAATATGTTCATGGTTCTCCGAGAACTGATGCCAGCCTTTCAAACCAATCTATCAGTATGTTGCTATCCGTACTTGCAACTATTCAGGTGATTGTGCAAAAGCTTGGGGAATTTGTTAGTCCATATTTGGAAGAAATACTGGATCTCGTGATATTGCATCCTGAATGTGCTACTCAAATTGATGGAAAGTTGGATGTAAAAGCAGCAGATGTTCGGGGCCTACTGACCGAGACAGTTCCAGTATGTTCCTTCTAAACATATCATGTATTGTTTTCTCAGTGATATGATGGACAATTAATGTGCTTTATATTCCGAGTCTAATGGAAATATTTGTATTGTAGGTTCGGCTTATTCTTCCACCTTTACTGAATTTGTATTCCAGTGCTACCAAATGTGGAGATGCAAGCCTGTCATTGTCGTTCCAAATGCTTGCAAATGTAGTTGGTACAATGGATCGGCTGGCTGTAGGAACTTACCATACAAAAATATATGAACACTGTTTGGAAGCTCTTGATCTCCGTCGTCAGAATCTGGACTCCTTGAAGAATATAAATTTAGTTGAGCAAAGTATTACCCACACCATTATCACTCTCACGATGAAGCTTACCGAGTCCACTTTTAGGCCTCTTTTCCTTCGTACTCTTGAATGGGCAGAGTCTGAAGTTGATCAGTCAACATCAAAGAGAAGTATGGACCGAGCAATTGTTTTCTACAAGTTGGTCAACAAGCTCGCTGAACAACACAGGTATTCCTATCACATTGTGTATTGGCAAATCACCGAACAACATAAATGGGTTTCAAACCTTGCGTCATTTGCTGGAAATATCGAAAGCCTTGTCAATGATTTGCCTGATGTTAGTTTGTTCAATTTGCGCATATGAATTTGCTTCTTATCTTGTTTATATCATTTGTCTATGAAGGTCCTTGTTTACACCTTACTTCAAGTACCTACTTGAGGGATCAGTACAATATCTATCAGAAGATGGTGTCTTGATCAGTTCCAAGCGAAAGAAGAAGGCTAAACTTGGAGACGATATAGTCAAATATAAGGATAGTTTGTCAGGACAGAAGCTGTGGAACTTGAGAGCACTGATACTGAAATCATTGCACAAGTGCTTTCTTTACGACAATGATCAGAAGATCCTAGATTCCTCCAATTTCCAGGTTAGTTTCTTTGTATTATTTATATATGGGTCTACTGTCTACATGTTCGCATAAGATCAATTTCATATCTTCCATGCTTTTGCCAGCCAACAAAAATTATAATGTGCTAGGCAAATGTCCTTCTGTCTTGTTTGAATGTCATAATCAGGTGGTAGAAAGGGCATCCTTTAAGTTGCTTGTAGCATATAACCAGGAAATGTTTCCTATATTCTTCGCCCGTTTACCTTCTCTGCTCCTGATAATCTTTTCATTTTGATTGTAACATTTTTGTTTACATCTTGGCTATCTGCAGACTCTTATGAAGCCCATTGTTTCTCAGTTTGTTGCGGAACCGCCTGAATCTCTTGATTCAGTTCCAGACGCTCCATCAGTTGAGGAAGTGGATGAAATTCTTGTTTCGTGCTTGGGCCAAATGGCAGTGACTGCGCGATCAGATGTTCTGTGGAAGCCTCTTAACCATGAGGTAGGAACCTAGCAATACATGATTTCTTCTTGAATTATAGCAGCACTAACTGAATTAATTGATAATTATTTGGTGATTTCTTATAATATACTCGAATCTCGTACTAGTAATATTTGAATCAGAGACCAGACCAAAGGCTTGCTCGTGCAAACTGGCTTAATTTTGTCATTATTAAACTGCAGGTGCTGATGCAGACAAGGAGTGACAATGTCCGCCCTAAGATGCTGGGCCTGAAGGTGGTGAGGTACATGGTCCAACACCTGAAGGAGGAGTACGTGGCTCTGGTCCCGGAGACCATCCCGTTCCTGGGCGAACTGCTCGAGGACGTCGAGCTTCCTGTCAAAACGCTGTCCCAGGAGATACTCAAGGAGATGGAGACCCTCAGCGGCGAGAGCCTCCGGGAGTACCTGTGAGTGATCTCTCCCCAGAGTCCTCGCGCCAGTGAAGTGAACCAATACGCAGCCCCTGCTGGTAGTCTGCTTTGTTCTTGCTTCTTGTTGTATGTAAACTACATAGGATGGATGGCTTCGAGTTGAACTATTTTGTTGTTTATACATGTGTGAGCTATATTGTTCTTCTGTCCGGGCCTTGCTACTGAATGCTATTTTAAACACCGACGTGTGAACATCGGGCGCCTACTGTTGGTCGTTTACGCTGTATGTATGCTCAACTGTCGTGCATTGTCAGGGTTGGTTGGCTGGCTGTACTGCAGTGCAGAGTGACTTTAGGGACTTTGCAACATGCACGGTGATAAAGCACGTGCCAGGAACATGAGCACATGGAGGCCTCTCGAGTAGTGTAGATTTCCTCATGTGCCCCCGGTAAATCCAGTTGCTATTGTTCTGTGAACGGTGTGGCGGAGTCAAGATCGCGGAATTGTTTATCAGCTATACGGATCACGCGGAATCAGCCTCTGACACTGCCATCGCAAGGTGGCATTTTCCCATCAGATGGTGATGCTAAGATGACCAGGGCCACATGGCTGGCCTGATCTCTTCTGTGGCATGTCTCTTTCACATACTGAACACTGAACCCAGGTTTGGCTCTTAGCCAAGGATTTCTGTAGCCGGTGTTAAAACAAATCAAAACTTACCAAACTCTAGGTTTTACTGTTATTGCGCACTCTCCTCTCTAAATTACCAAATTGCGTTTTCAGGCCTAGTGAGTCATACTGTTCTTGTGACCGCAGTGCCGGTGTAAATGGTAAAAAAAACCAGACGTTTTAGCACTGAAAACATTGCAGGTAGCCGTCCAGTCCTACAGACACTAGAGCAGAGGTTGGCATGCATGTTTGGGTCCGCCAAAAAGGCCAACGTTTGAGGCCGGCAATCCAACAACAGTAAAGAGATGTCGCCGCTTAGTGCTGCCAAAAGGGGCGACACCCCCCTTTGATCAGTGCCCATTTGGAACAAGGAAGGAGTCACATATCAAACAACAACCAGGAAAGTGACCTTGTGAGTGACCAGTGCAAACAACCACCTCCGTAAGCTCAAAAGATGAAGGATCCATACATAGCGGTACCTTCTACTAAGCGGTTACATAGTATAATTCAGGTGAGGTCTACAGAATACAGTCAGAAGAACCTTACGCCTCATTTGTCGAAAGCTTAAGCTTTAAAGTGCACGGAAGCTATACAGACCGGTAACCCCCTATCACTCTCTCCAGTCCCTGGTAGTACAAACCCTCTATGAAATAACAAACGGGTAATACACTTATAAATACTAATACTACCCTGCTGGTATATAGTTTAACACCTTCTAATTAGTACGCGAGTAATCCGACATTCGGCGTGCTTCGGTCACCTTGATATCTCCTCCAGCCTCTTCAGGATCCGTTTCGAATCCGGTCTCAAGGACGGCGAAGGGTTGCAGCAAGCCGTCGCGAGCTCGAAGAACGCGTTGAGCTTCGCCTCATTCCCGGAGTTCTTGCTCTGCTGGATCAGCCCGGAACCGAACGCGTCCGCGATCTTCCTCTCGAGGACCAGATCTTTGAAAGAGGCTGGCAAGTGGATGTCGCGGGCATTCGGCGAGCCATCCACCTCCTTCTGAGCGAGCATTTCCAGCAGGATCACCCCCAGGCTGTAGACGTCGCTCTCCCTCGTCACCTCCCTCATCTTGATCAGCTCAGGGGCCTTGTAGCCTTGCACCGCGGCGGTCTCGAGCATGTCCTGTGCGGCCGCGGGGTTCAGCAGGAGGTAGAGCCCGAAGTCTGATACCCTGGGCTGGAAATCGGCGTCGAGCATGATGTTGCTTGTCTTGAGGTTGCCATGGATGATCGGCTTCTGCGATCTTGTGTGAAGGTGGTCCAGCCCCTTGACGATGCCGATGGATAGCTTGCAGATTATCTCCCATCGTTGTGAATCATTGATTCCCTCTGCAGGTAAAAATTAAACGGGAAATGTCAGATAGTGCAGAGAATGCATGGGATGCTAGTATATCATGATTTGAGATCTGACGGTAACTAGCAAAGTTACTGACGTGCTGACACCAGTAGTGGGAAAATCTCATGGTAAGACCGGACTGGCAGCCCAACGTAAAGGCCGACACATTTTCAACTCAATCGTGCAGTACAATATAAATGCAATAGAGTCATAAAATTTGAAACTGTTCAAACCAGAACCTTGTGGTAGGGAACCAGCTTGCAATCGTACAAGAAATGTACTAGTAGCATAGAGGACCATTTGGACATGTCCTTTCCAAACCCTCACAAGGATAAAAAACAGATACCTCAAAAGTTATTGACAACAAAAAGTCAAAAACCACAGAAATTGTTTTCTGTAAAAGATAATCATCATCTTTAGAAGTCTTTCTCAATGTGATCAATTGATGGATCAACAGATAAAACATGTTCAATAAGAGCATATAATTCAACTACTACACTGAAAATGAGAGCTGAAAGATGCAGGGAGCACAAACAGCTCAGAAAAATCAACCTCATAAATGTCATAAAAGTAGTTGCAAACACTTCATATAAGAAAAAAAAATTAGGGAAGAAAGGGTTTTTCCTTTTTAGGGAAGAAATCATTTCTCTTTAATAATGAAATAACTCGTAAAATATGCTTGGAAATGAATGTTTCCCCAGAAACACTGTCTTTTTTTGCGAGGGCCCAGAAACATTGATTTGATATAACTGAGCAACACAGATCAACACTGAAAAACAAATGAGGCTGCTACAGGTGACCCAATATTCATATGTCCTTCAGAAACATGAAGATCATATGCTAAGCAAAGTGTCCCAGCCAACAACTCCAACCAGTAAAAGTTCACAAACACCTTTATCAACTATTGAGCTGTCCCGTGGTCTGGTAAACTTCACGACAAAAGTACAAAGTGTAGCAGTGAAGACACATGGCTAAAGGTAACAAAAATCACTCTGCAAGGCTGTTGCTCAATCGTTGCAGCATTATTGGAAGTACGCATTCGTGCTAAATCTGAATCAGATGAGCAGAATAATCGACCAAATCAAACAGAGAGGATTTTCAGTTAATTTCCCGGGAAACCAGAGACGAAGCAGAGCTAATTATGATGCTGGCACATAAATCAGCAAATTTATTACAGTTTCAGCTGATTGTGACGGATTATTTGGCATGATTAGTCTTACTCAAGGTAAACTTGGCTCGAACGCAAAGCAGTGGAAGTAATTGCACGCTATGGAGCAACGTAAGTAAAGGGCAAACCTTGCAAGAAGCGGCGGAGCGAGCCGGCGGCGTAGAAGGGGTGCACGAGCAGCTTCTCCCCACGCGGGCCGACGTAGAGCGCGCGGATCGGCACGAGATTCGGGTGCTGCACGGCGCCGAGCAGCCGCGCGGCGGCCGCGGCCTCCTCGGCGCCCGCGGAGCAGACGGGCCGGAGGAACCGGAGCAGGGCCACGGCCTCGCCGGAGCTGAGCCCGGCGCGGTACAGCGTGCTGTGCGCCGACTTGGCGACCACCTCGCCGGGCGCCTCCAGGATGGCGGCCACGGTGAGCCCCTCGCCGCCGGGGAACGTGAGCAGCTCCTCCCCGACGCCGGTGCCGTAGGCGCTGGACCCGCCCGCCTGGAGGCGGTCGGCCCTGGCCCCGTGCGAGGGCAGCACCGCGCGGCCGCGGCGGCGGCGGCGCCGGTAGCAGCGGACGGAGTAGCAGACGAAGAGCGCGACTATGACGCCCAGGACCGTGAAGAGGACGGCATTGACGAGTTTCCTCGGCATTGCTCCGCTCCGGCGGCGTGCTCGGCTCCGGGGAACAATGGGGGAGGAATTCTGGGGTAATATACGGCAGATTGGTAGGGTTTGGTGCCCTCGGGAGAAAGGTTTGTGCTTGGGCGCTCCCTCCTCCTTTCCCTGCCCCTTTTCGTGATTCTTTCCCTTGCGGTGGAGATCTCTCTCTGGCTCTGGCCTGTTGGGGGAGCTGGCTGCTCCCTTTTGTTGTGTGTGACAGTGTCAGCTAAGCTAATGGTGGTATTCTTTGGGGTAATATTGGGGTGGAAGCTAGCTTGGGATGCTTCTCGTGTTGAGGGAGAGCGATGGATCCGTTCTTTTTCTTGCTTGGACTTTGGGTTTTATGTGGATGTGGATAATAAGTGCGTTCATGATGGCAATGGACGTACGTACCCATGAATAGTGTGGGCAACAGGACCCTAAATCTGTGAGGCCCCTAACTTCATAGTTGCGTGCGTCATCGAGTACACTTGATTACCTCATGTCATGTGGCACTATGGCACTATAGACCCTATGCCCGAGCCAGAGTAGGGTCATGTGATGGCTAGCCAGGCCAGGTTTAAAATACTCTGAGGGGAGTCTCATGAGTGATGGCATGTAAAAAAACTTTCTTTTAATCCCAGAAAGCAAATTTGTATTTACTCCCTCTGTTAACTTTTTACAAGATGTTTTAAAGTCTGAGAGGGTGTCGGAAAACATTTTAGGACATGTACAATGGTGGCATATGGATACAGATGTTCCATAAGAAAAAAGTAGGTTGAGGCATTTACATTGATTTTTTCTCTTCAGTGCAAACCGCTAGTGGGTATCATCAAGGAAAAAAAATAGAGACTCCGGTACACATGCATCTCTATTTTCCACTCCTACTTTTCATCTTTTTGCATTGGACCATATTTTTTCTCTCCCAACACCCACCTCTTGCTGAGCGCTACACCATCTGAACCTACATCCGATCCTACATGGCATGTTGGACATCACCCTGGGACTATGCATTGGTCATGCCCTTATATTAAGTTACAGAGGGAGCAGATCACAAACTTAAATGTTAAACATTTGCATTCAGGTTTTATTGTGCAAACAATTCGCCATGATTCTACTCTCGGCAATGGTGAACCCGACCCGTAGATGTGCGGTTAGCTGAGCCCAGAACCTTTTAGCAAATCCTTCATATGCATGCTAGTATTTTTATAAAAGAAAAAAAAATAAAACTATGTAAAATATGTGATGAGCGTATCTTTGACACCACGAGGTCATCATCGTGCTGCCACCAAGAAAAAGGTTGCATGATCGGTCAAACACCATGCAACCTAACATTTAGATCACAAACATTCACGTTGACGTTCTATTGAGCGAATCTTTCGCCACGGTTGTACCCTAGGCACGACGAGTGGTGGGAGGAGTGATCTAGGGAGTACAAGGAGGAAGGGGGCAGTTGACCGGTGATGGCAATGTTTAGGGCGATGCTCACCCCTTAGAGGCTAAAAGGAATGTGAAGAGGAATATTTACGACCCCAGAACGTTGTGCATGCGGCGAGTTGGTTCATGCCAATGTGGAATGACAACAGGCAAATCCGCGTCGTGGTATGGCTGATCCCCCCGATGATCGTGTTGATGGTCTAAAGTGGGATTACATCTCACCCGTCTGCTAGCGCCACTCCGGCTTAACTTGCACTACTGGATGTGGTGACTTTGGCAAGATCCACCATCAAGGTGATGATTGGGAAACTTCTTCATGTCGAGGTGAAACTCTTGTTTTGGCCTTTATTTGCCGAGTTCAACAGCAACGAGATTGCGTCGTTATCTTGTTGAAGACATTTGTCTCCTTATGTGTTGGCCTTCAGCGGTTAGCCGCTCCAACCAAGATGAAAGTTCTTGTCCTTCCCGTCTGCGGCTGGACATTGCAACGATAGCGAGTGAAGCTTATCAATTTTTAAAGGCGTTGTTGCAAAATAAGCCGACATGGTCGTGTGTGTTGATTCCATATCTTGTAATGACTCTACCTGTGACGCCCCCGATTCAATCGTACACTAATCATGCACGCAAACGTGTACGATCAAGATCAGGGACTCACGGAAAGATATGACAACACAACTCTAAAAGTAAAATAAGTCATACGAGCATCATATTACAAGCCAGGGGCCTTGAGGGCTCGAATACAAGTGCTCGAACATAAACGAGTCAGCGGGAGCAACAATATCTGATCACAAACTGAGATACAGATCGAAAGAGGCGTAGGCCTCCTGCCTGGGATCCTCCTAAACTACTCCTGGTCGTCGGCGGCCTGAACGTAGTAGTAGGCACCCTTGGTGTAGTAGGGGTCGTCGTCGACGGTGGCGTCTGGCTCCTGGGCTCCAGCATCTGGTTGCGACGTCCGAGAAGAAGAGGAAAAAAGGGGAAAAGAGGGAGCGAAGCAACCGTGAGTACTCATCCAAAGTACTCGCAAGCAAGGATCTACACTACATATGCATGAGTATATGTGTAAAGAGGCAATATCAATGGACTGAACTGCAGAATGCCAGAATAAGAGGGGGACAGCTAATCCTACCGAAGACTATGCTTCTCGCAGCCTCCATCTTGCAGCATGTAGAAGAGGGTAGATGGTAAGTTCACCAAGTATCATCGCATAGCATAATCCTACCCGGCGATCCTCCCCTCGTCGCCCTGTGGGAAAGCGATCACCAGGATGTTTGTGGAACTTGTCTGGGTGTGTTTTATTAAGTATCTGGTTCTAGTTTTCATAAGGTTAAGGTACAACACCGAGTCATCCTTTTACCAAGGGACACGGCTATTCGAATAGATAAACTTCCCTGCAGGGGTGCACCACATTTCCCAACACGCTCGATCTGGATCTAGGAACAACCGCAACACCAGACCGGTACTACCGTTGATCAAACTATACTGTTGTATCACTACAAAAAGCATGTCTACTGCACTACTACTCTCCTATAATTCCCTCTTGCAGCGGTTTAGCCAATAATCTCATGAACTACACATGCATCTCCCCAAGACCTAGAAGCAAACGAACGGAACAAAAAGGGAAGAACTTGGGGAAATACTGGTGTCCATGGCAAGAGTGCGAGGTGGGGAATGATCCCACTGGCTGGAATGCGAGGAGAGCAGCCGGAGACAGAGATCCGGCGAGGTCCTCCGGCGCCGTTCTTGGGCAGGAGAGAGAGAGAGAGAGACGGGGTAGGGAAAAGAGATGAATGGGTATGGGGGAGTTGGAACCCCCTGCCTCGCTCTTAACCCCCACCCGCTCACGACGGCGCGGTAGTACTGCGGATCATCGCGGTAGTACCGCCCGGGCGGAAGTACCACACAAAGGGCGGTAGTACCGCTCTTCAAGCGGCAGTAAAAAATTACTACCACGATGGAAGTGGTAGTACCGTGCCGGGGATGCACCTGTGCAGGCACATGGCAACCCATCTCCAGCGATAGTACCGTGGCAATCCACGGTAGTACCGCGAGCCCAAGGAGTGCAAGTTTCGACAAGAACAAAAGAACATGGCCTTTGCAATGCCACCTTCAAGCAACCGGACACACAAAAGAGCTAAACACACTAGGCAAATCAAATACACACACGACTCAGAGGAAAAGGAAAAAGACAACAATAACCAAACACGAAACACAACCTCTCCAGGGAGAGGGTGGTGGCCGGAGCCACCTATGTTTGAGTCAATTGGTATGGCACCGCAAAGAATTATCCTTGGGCCCATGACCAAAACTTGTCTTTGAAGCACAAGTACTATCAAGGATGGCTAATGTGAAAGAGGTGCTCAATTTATGCATAATGGGGGGAGGGAGAGTTCATTGAGAGAACAACACTCCCCCCATGTCCATGCCTACACCTAAACAAGATATTTCTTCAAGCTACATTGCTCGAATCAATGATATTTAGCTCATGCCTTAACTTGCAAAATCTTGCTTCATCCAAGGGCTTCGTGAATATATCTACAAGGTTATCATGAGTGTTGACATACTTGAGCTTGATCTCCCCTCGCCTAATGTGATCCCGGATGAAGTGATACCGAATCTCAATATGCTTCGTCTTGAAGTGTTGCACCGGGTTGAGAGAGATCTTGATCGCACTTTCATTATCACACCAAAGAGGAACTTCATCACAAATGACACCGTAATCCTTCAAAGTTTGCCTCATCCATAGAAGTTGAGCACAACAACTACCGACAGCCACATACTCCGCTTCGGTGGACGAGAGAGATACACAACTTTGCTTCTTAGAAGACCAACTCACCAAAGAGCAACCAAGAAATTGGCACCCTCTGTAGGTGGACTTCCTATCCACTCTATCTCCCGCCCAATCTGAGTTTGAATAGCCCAAAAGGTTGAAGTTGGCTCCTCTTGGGTACCATAAGCCAAAGTTTGGGGTATGAGCCAAATATCAAAAGATTCACTTGACCGCCACATAGTGACTTTCCTTAGGTGCGGCTTGAAACCATGCACAAATTCCCACACTTAACATGATATCCGGTCTAGATGCACAAAGGTAAAGCAACCAATCATGGAGCGATATACCTTTTGATCCACCGCTTTACCATTGGGATCTATGTCAAGTTGGCATTTGACAGACATTGGAGTGGAGGCCGGCTTGACATCACTTAGCTTGAATCTCTTGAGCATGTCTTGAGTGTATTTAGCTTAGTTGATGAAGGTGTCTTCTCTTCTTTGCTTGATTTCGAACCTGAGAAAGAACTTCAACTCTCCCATCATGGACATATTGAACTTTGAGGTCATGAGAGCGACAAATTCCTCATTGAAAGCTTTGTTAGGGGAACCAAAGATAGTATCATCAACATATAGTTGGCATACAAACAACTCACCTTTAACCTTCTTAGTAAAAAGAGTGGGGTCGATTTTCCCAATTTGAAACCCACGATCTTGCAACAACTCGGTAAGATGCTCATACCATGCACGTGGGGCTTGTTTAAGGCCATAGAGTGCCTTGTCGAGTTGGTACACATGATCGGGGAAAT